ATAAATGTTGTTTAAGCCACCCAGTCTGTTGTATTCTGCTATGGCAATGAAATTGCCAATACTTAGAATTTGGGTGATTGCCTATAAAAATCTGAATTTCTCTTGAAAAATGATAAGATCTGGCTACAATTAGCTAGAGATGAGTAGTAATTTGTCTGCACTCTCCACTTCTCCACAGTCTCCACCACTCCCTTCTGTCTCTGAGACATGGAGGATAAAGGTCAATTGGCAATTGTCTCAGTATTATTATTTTTAATCCAGCTCTTTTCACTCATTTACATTACTTGCCTTACCATTGTGGATTTAGGTTTGTAACTGATAATGTAACTAATCTATTGACAAATGTCAGTTTTCTTCCAATAATGAAATAGGATTTGCATTTAACTATCCACACTATCTTGTCTGAACTCGCTTTTGATATATAGTCTTTCTTTATGAGCAAGCTAACCAGCTGTAGATTCTGAATATGTATGAACCATGCTGATATACACTAATATACCTTTCAATCATGAAAATAAATTAGGACATAAATCTAAACTGAAATGACAAATCTTAACTCTGAACATCATGGGCCAATTATGTACTCTGCAAAGGATGTCTTTTATCAACTAATGAATCAGGGTGGCATGAACTGGCAAAAGAAAAGCTCCCTTTTGTCTTGATAGATGCAAATAAAGAATAATTACTTTTACTTGAAATTTTGAAAAAAAATGGATTGGGAGTATAAGGATTCCATCTGTTACATGATTTCAAGTCAGCCATGAGAGCTGTGCATCAGAAACATTGAAATATTAACTTTACATCTTGCATTTATGGAAATGAAAGCATAAGGCATTTTAAGAGCCAGAAAATGTAACAACCATTTATCAGAGGAAATGGGAGCAGAAGCTGGAGACACGGAAAGTAAAATGGAGAAAAAAAGAAGGAAAACAATTGCTGGAATGAGGGGAAATTAATGTAACAGAGAAGAAAAATAAAGAGCACAAAGGAGAAAAACACGATGCTTTAAAGGAGAACAGAAGTCTATGAAACTGTACTATATTTATTTATTGGTTGGAAGTGTATTTCTATTAGACGAATTCAGGCAAAATATGTAAAGAAACAGTAAATCCCAGTATTGTTTGTCTTAGGCATCTACAACAATAAACAAATGAATGGATCAAAATCATTCTTTTCAAAACAACAGTGTGTAAAAAGTAATCTATCAATGACTTTTTGAGTTATTTCATTTGTCTGCTTTTGGTGCTCTTGGAATAGAATTCAGCTGCTTAGACAAAAAAAAATTTTCAGAATTTACTTATGGGCCATTTCAGCATGCTTCAAGTATGCTGTACTACTATTAGTTGTAGTTGAAAGCTATTACAAATGTGCATTTTGTAGGTTAAAGTATATTATAGTGTTTTAGATGTTGAAGCGACCATTCTTTGGTCAAAAAAAAAAAATTTTATGTATGGGTCGTGTCTCCCATTTGTAAACTGAGGATCTCTCTTTTAAAGTTAGTATGAGGAAGAATGTCTGCCTTAGAAGTTTCCAAAGAATAAAAAAGTAAAATTCACTGGGAGTGTTTTTATTAAAAAAAAGTAATTCACGTTTATTGTAAAATAGTTTAGAAAACACAGATGAGCAAAAGAGACAACAAAAATCATTCTTACTCCACCATTCAGAAATAATCACTTCTTTGACTAATCACAGCGTGGTGTGTGTAAGTCCAATCTTCTTTCATTGTGACTAGCTACATGTATATAATTTTAAAAATGTGATCACACTGTATACATTGTTTCAGAACCTGCTTTCCAGTTTAACAATGTCTTGCAAAAAGCTTTCTATGTCATTATTAACTATTATTCTACAATATGTTTTCATGGTGAGGTTGCACCATAATTGAATTAACCAATTTTTCCCTAACATTTTTACCATTATAAATAATGATGTCGTGAACACCCTTGTACATAAACCTTTGGGCATAATCCAAAGGGCACAAAAAATTAAAAAGCTTCTGGTGTGCATTGCCAAATTGTCCTTGCAGAGTAACTGTGCCCACTTAGATTAGACCCTAGTATGATATGAGATTAGCCGTTTTACCAATTCTCCTGTATTTTAAATGAGATCACAAGTAGGAAGTACCTAATACAGTGACAGCATTAGGTAGCGTCATATAAAATGTTGTTCTCTTTCTACTCCTTTCTCACTGAGGAAGAGAATCCCACTTTTTACACTTAAGTACAGGAGGAACATAGGTGTTTTAATGCATTTGAGGCAGTGAGGTTCTTAAATAAGTGGGTGTCCTTATTGTTTTCACTGAATTATAAGAATGGATATAGCCTATACCATTCTTGTCTTTTATGGAATGTGATTACACACCTTCAATTATTTGGACTGTGAAATTTTCTTTATTATTTTTAACCTAATCTTGTTAGATGGCTGTCTGTTTATCAACAACTGAATTTCTCATTTTCCTAAGTGGAAATAAATTTTCCAAATAGTTTGAATCATTGACTTTCAAGTCCATGCAAATGCCTTAGAGATACATAGTGGTAATTCCAAAATCTATCAAAATAATAGGATTTGCAATGTCATTCCCTAAGACATCTAACCTTCCACTCACTTTCAGAACCTGGAGAAGTTTTAAAAAGAAACTATTTTCACACAAGTCATCCTGAGAGGCAAAATAATAGTGACCACAAACAGCAGAATGATGGTGACCAGGATTTCTAAAAGGAAACTTTCCAAGCTAAAGACAGTAGATCAAAGAGTATCTATTTAAAATCCCTTCCACCTTAAACTCCTTTCAGACTGAAATAGCCAGCTATCATGAGGAACACATTGGATTCCCAGGATGTCCTGGGGAAGAATAAAACCTAAAAAAGAACTTTGTCACTGAAAACTTAGAATTAATGTTGTCAGCTTTAAAGCAGAAAACAACTATAAAAAAACACATCTTATACAAAAACTAAAGCAAAAAAAAAAAGTAAGTGCTGTCCCATGGAGAGAGAAAAGTTGGTCTCTTTGCATGGAGTAAGCAAAGAAATATGTGTGATCCTTGGCATGTTTGCTCTCTGACATCTCTGGGTGCTTTCACTCACTGCCTTTGACATTTTTCTAGTAAGGTCAGAACTTTCTGTTATGCCATTTCACACACACACACACACACACACACACACACAGAGCCAAAAATTGACCTTGAAATTCAGGTTCTCTTTTGTTTACTTTAAAGCTACTGCATTCCTGGTGCTCAAGAATTAAAAGAAACAATTCTTAGAAATACACAAGATGATTTTCATGTTAGCTTACTGTATCTGTTTCCACAAGCTTAGTTTCCTTTAAAATGGTACTTTGCTCTTATTTTATGCATTTAGTAATCGTGCAAACAAAAGCCCCAAGATTGATTATGGTGAAGGAAGAACAATCCTTCTCAACCATTCATCCAGTTCTTTGTGCTGCTGCTGTCTTTTGTTTGTTTGTTTTCTGCTGCTTCCCTCCACTCTCGGGACCCACTAATTCCAAGAATATTTAAAAATCTTAAAATGACGGTGAAAGCTTCCTTTAATAATAGTGTAACAATAGTATATTTATTAATTTTCTATAGCTGTCATAATCCATGATTTCTAGATGTGTTTTTAATGTTAGTAAAACAGCCAACCAGTGACTTTAACATGAGAAATAACTACTGTTGAAAGCTAAAGGATTTACACTATTATTTAAATTCTCTTCTTTGTTAGCATTGATACTATTTCCTTGTTTCTATTATCCTCTTTTATAACGTCCTTTGAAAAGCAGTGAAGATGAATTGGTGTTTTACAAAACCTTAAAGTTCTCAGAAATGCCTTACCTTTTTATCGGAGAATCTATCACTGATGTAATTTTCATCCTGTACAGGCTTTTCATTTCATACAAATTATTTACATTTAATTCAGTTAAGTTTATGATCTTCTCCAAATTATGAAAAACATACACAGTACTTAATGTTTTTCAATAAAACCTTGCTTGCTCTTGAAAGCATTAAGTGAGATTGTCGGTTTACTGAGTGGATGCATACAAAGCTATTTTCCTAGCTAGTTTCAGATGCTGGGGACGGTTAGTTCCCAAACATTGCAGCACACCAAGGTTACATGTGTGATTCTTTTAAGTGGCTTCTAATGTTTCTATAACCTGATAAAATGCCATTAATCCTTTGTAGCCACTTTTTAAAAAGTATTGTTTGTGCTGAAAACAAGTTCAGAAATTCAAAGTAATTTTCTGTGAAGTAATATTATCCTTAAATCAGCATAAACTAATTCTTTCAGTAAAAGTGTTGGTGAATCCTGTGAGGGAAATAAAACATCTAATTGTTTATACTTTGGAAATCCAAAAGTGAAAATCTCACTTATTGCTTATGTTTTTGTGATTTGCATTATCTGGTACAGTGACAGTTATACGTTGTCTTCTCAGATGTTTGATAGTTTTAGGAGAAACTTGCAATGACCTCGGGATGCTCTCTCTCTCAGCCCAGCTGCTTAACTCTGAATTCTATTCCATAACAGTTTGTGAAATCAGCACATCTCCTTAGAGCTCTCCCGTGGGTTGCAGGCGATCAAACAAACAAAACCGTAGCGTCAAGACAGTTAGATTGGTTTAACAGAAAGGGAATTCTAAAGACATTCATGAATAAAAATGCACAACGGGAAGGCCATATCTTTATTAAAATCACCACAAATACAAAAGCATCGCCGATATACACACACACACACACACACACACAAGCTGTATACATATATTCTCAAATTCCTGGAAAATTATCACAAATATATTGGCTTTACATGTCATTACATGGCATATCTCTAAAATAGAACAAAAATACCCATACAATTTTTGGATGAACAGCATCCTTTGCATTTCAAAATTCCTGTTTTCAGACATTTGTTTGTAAAGGATTTGCTATGAAATGTTTCCCAGTTGAGGCCTCCTGGCCCTGGGAGTGACATGGCCTGTGTCGTGTGACATTTGGTAGCTATAATGTCCGTTCAATTGTATCTCGCCTTTTCTGTAGCAAGAGCCAACCTGCGAATGTTGGCTATACAGCCAGCTGCGGCTTCCTGGAGATCCTGGTCAGGTGACCCCACCATATGCAGTAGAAGCTGCCACACACGGAGGAGCAGGGGGAGAAGGGAAATAAGAATAAAACCATTAATCTAAACAGGTAAAGTTAGGCTATAAGAATGATGTTAAATATGAAATGCTTTTTAAGTCACCAAAAAAAAAGGCCGAGAAATTCTACTGTGGCAAATGCAAATATAAATGGTACTTAATCAGATGCAGGAATTTCTCATGAAATTCTACCTTTTTATTTAACGGAGCCGAGCTAGACCTGTTTCTCCCTCCTTTGGTCATCTAACTGCTCGAAATTTCTGCTTTGAAATTTCTCTTGCATCCTTTGTGGCTCTTCCACCTCCGGAGACAAGCCAGCAGCGTATCATGCCTAGACTGTTGGTGCATCATCTGAGGCTTAATCTCTCTGCATTCCAGTCTACCCCATTGTGTCACAACCTAATTATATCAGTCCCTTAATAGAGACTTTCATTGACTCCCAATGCCAGCTAACTAGAGCCCAGTCTCTTAACCTGTCCTTGTAGGATTTCTGTGCTCTGGCCTCGGTTTATCTACCTTTCTAGCCATTCATCTTTCTCCTGTTCCACCCTGTACTCCCTGTACTGCTTCCCCACTTCTTTTGCCTTGATTGGTGCCATTACTCTACCTAAAATGCCCTCCCATCTCCTTCTCTGACTCTCTGTTATCCACCTTTCATGACCCAGTTAACTTTTCTACAAAGCCTCCACTGATTTCTGTCAAACAAAATGCCATTTCTCCCTCATCAGAACTCTCATAGTTGTTTACTCAAATGTCTGTTGCTATACTTGTATTCTTCCCTTTTTCACAGACTTGTATTAATGCTTTTTGTCCTACTTTAGATTGTAAACTCTGGAAGAATCTTGTAAAATCATACAGTGCCTGATACACGGTAGATGCCAAATAAATATCAAATAAATTAATTAGAACTTTTAAAATCTATCAATTATAATTCTAACTAATAGTTCTGATGAAAGATTTAAAATGTAATTTGAATTGAACATTTTTCATACAGTAGCCTTTGAGTACAAATGTGGATAATATAGAATGAGGATGTCTTGATAAGGAAAGAAATATTGTAAAGAAAAATATTGTGAAACATCTTAAATATGGCAGGCTTAGGAGTTTGGCTTTTATTCTGCAGGTAAGAAAAGCACTTTAATCAGGAGAGTGACATGGTCATATTTGTATTTTAGAAAGATAAATTTTATGGCAACTTAATAGAATAAGGACTGTGGAGAGAGGGGACAGGTGGGAACTGCAACACATCAGGCCAGAGGTGATAAGAACTGAGTAAAGCAGAACCGGGAACAGCATGGAAGGAATGAGTTCAAGGGATATTTAGGGACTAAACTATTCAACAGACGGCCCAAGGACAGCTGGTTATCCAAAGAGAAGAAAATGAAAATGGTCATCTCATACATAAACATCCCTTCCAGGTAGATTGATGACTTAAATAAGAAAGCAAAACGTGAAACGTTTAGGAGGTTGTACAATAGGAGACCTTGATCACACTGGGGTATTGAAGGGTATCTGGCCTCTCCGTTTCTTGACCTCCTCATGTCAATGATTTTCACCACACTTTAGCCCCTACTTCCAGGGTCACACCCTGGTTCTTATTTTTCATCACTCTCAACAGTCCAACCTCCAGACTCTCTGATAACAGTTACTGCTCTTCTGATTTGGCCGTTGAACTTACTTGTTCTCATCACGACCTCTAGTCCACTGGCCTGTGTACTTTTTCTTAAACCATCTCCTGTCTTCACTTCCTCCATAACCAGTTTAGATTCTACAGGCCATCTTTTCATTCATTCTCTTACCGGTTGTAAGGAGCGGCACCAAAGACGGAGGAGGGCTTAAACAAGCTTGATTAGGGAGCGCTCCCGGGCCAGGTTCACTGGTCCGAGAGAAACGGGCCAGAGAAGTCGCGCCGGGGTGCGGGCGCGAACAAAATTTATAGGGGTGGACACAGGGGAAGCTTGCTGTGTGAAGCAGCCCCCTTTTTTGGTGATCTCTCGGGTGTTGTGGCAACGTCAGGTGTCGGCTGCATCAGCCTCAGAGCCGTTGGTTCCGCCCCTCGGGGAGCGGGAAGACCGGTCGGTTGCATCGGCCTCCTTGGCGGGGGTTCCGTCTGGCTCCCTGGGCCCTTCCCCGGACCTGCTGGCCTTACATCCCGACTTCTTTGGTGTAATGGGGCGACGTTTGGTCTCTGGCTACTTCCTGCTGTACGGGGGCGCCAGAAGGGAGTCGGGCGGCCAACGGTCCGGAGGTTAGGGGAGGGTGGCAGCGGGGGGTTCTGTGGGTAGTAAGGTACATGGGTGGAGGAGCATCTGATTCACCGCCACCCGAGAGACGACTTGTATGCGACTGCGGAGGAACCTGTTGAACCACCTGAGAGACGAAGGTGAGTCCACTGTCCGACTGGGTGGAGGTTGGCAGAGGCCAAATCGGGGGATGATATGCTGGAGAAGGGTGGTGGCGACTGTGTCTGCCGTTTCTCGGGCTGTTGCGAAGGCCCCGATCCAACCTGAAAAGCTGTCAACGAGAGTGAGCAAATATCGGAAGCGTTGATAGCAGGGCATGTGGGTGAAGTGAATCTGCCAGTCCTCGCCAGGTTGGTGTCCGCGCGTCTGGTGAGTAGGGATTCGGGGCCGTAGGCCTCCTTGTGGAGAGACAGACGCGCAAGTCTGGCAAACCGCGTGAGTTTTTGAGATGGCATCTCTTGAGTCCAGGCATGTAAAAGAGGGGATCTAGGAAACGGAACATTGCCTTCGGGCCAATGTGTAGGGACTTGTGGATGTCTGCTAGGAGGCTGGCCGCTTGGGCTGAAGGGAGGGCAACTTTGTTGTCCATAAAAATCCATCCTTTTTTGACCTTGTGGCCCCCTTTGGATAGTAGGGCCGTCTCTTCATGGGGGTCGTATGTGGGTCGGATTGAGGTGGTGAGGAACAAGATCGGAGCTGGAGGGGCCTCTTTGGTGAGCTCGCGGGCCACAGAGTCGGCCTTTGAGTTACCTTGTGCTATTGGGTTAGAAGGAGACTGGTGGCCCCTGCAGTGGATGATTGCCACCTCCTCAGGCAGTTGGAGGGCATCCAGGAGTTTTGTGATGAGGGAGGCGTTGACCACCGGGGAGCCCTTGGTGATCAAAAATCCGCGCTCCCTCCAAAGAGCTGAATGGCTGTGTGCAATCAGGAAGGCATATTTAGAATCTGTATAGATGTTGACCCTTTGGCCCTTAGAGGGGTCAAGGGCCTGTGTGAATGCGATCAGTTCAGCCCTTTCAGAGGTTGTCCCTTCTGGGAGGCGGTTGGCCTCGATAATGGTTGAGATGGTTACTACCGCGTAGGCTGCCCGGCGGCGTCCGTCGGGGCCGAGTATTGAGCTGCCATCTACGAAGAGGGTGCGGTCCGGGTTTAACAGTGGAGTATCAGGGAGTCCCTCCTTTGGTGGGCTGAGGGCCTCTACGACTTGGGGGCAGGAGTGGGAAGGGGAGGTCCCAGTATCGGAGATACGCAAGAGGGAGGCCGGGTTTAGGTGGGGGGAGAGGGGTGGGTGGGGGGGTGGGGAGAGGTCGAGGGAGATAGCAGGGTTTTCAATGAAGAGCAGGTGGAATTCCTGGATGCGGGAGGGGCCCAAGAGAGACAGACTTATGGCCGAGGAGGTCAGCCAGTCAGTGGGCGGGCCAGGGTCAGTTTGAGTGTTTGTTTGGTCAGCTCGGCTGCTGCTGCCAAAGCTCGGAGGCATGGCTGCCATCCCCGAATGGTCGCCTCAAGTTGTTTGGAGAGGTAGGCCACGGGATGATAGGAAGGCCCTGCGGGTTGGGCAAGGAGTCCGGTAGCTATTCCGATCCGTTCATCTACAAAGAGGTGGAAAGGATGGTCTGGGTTAGGCAGAGAAAGGGGAGGGGAGGATATCAGGGTGTCTCTGAGGGTGAGAAAGGCCCGTCGAACAGTGGACGGAGAGGTAAGGGGTCCTTGGGGGGTTTCTTTAGCAGCTAAATAGAGGGGCTTAGCAAGAAGAGCAAAGTTAGGGATCCAGTGTCGGAAAAATCCTATTAGGCCCAGAAAGGAGAGAATCTGGTCAGCTGTCTCTGGAGGTTGGAGGTCGCGGATGGCCTGGGTGCGGTCGGCTGTCAGGCTCCTTGTTGTGGGGGTAAGGTGGATTCCCAGGTAGGTTACTGAGGGTGTAGACAGTTGCGCCTTGTCTGGAGAGACCCGAGAGCCGAGATAATTGAGGAGGTCAGCAGTGTGTTGTTTTGAGAGGCTGAGAGATGGGCTACAGAGGAGGTCATCCACGTATTGGAGGACTGTACTGGGGGTGAGAGGGCAGGAAGCGAGGTCCCGCACCACAGCCTGGCCAAAGAGGTGGGGGCTGTCGTGGAAGCCCTGGGGAAGAACCGTCCGGGTGAGCTGGTGGGAAGCACAACTGGGTGGAGGGGAATTATTGCCTCATTGATCAGTCGGAGGTCCTGGACCAGGCGGTAATCTCTTGAGGCCTTGCGGACAGGTAGGATGGGGGTGTTGCAGGGAGAGTCCGTGGGGATGAGGAGCCCCTGGTCTAAGAGTCTGGTGATAATAGGTTGCAAGCCCCTTAGATGAGTCTCAGAGATGGGGAATTGGGGCCTGGATGGAAACTTGGAGGGGTCTTTTAGATGGACTAGGACAGGGGGGTGGTGTGTCGCTGTTATGGGTTTTGATGTATCCCAGACCTGGGGGTCTATCCGGTTGGGGGAGATGGGAGGAGGGAGAGAGGAGGGAGAGGGCTCCGCTGCCAGACCGAGGAGGGGGCCTTAGGGTCAAGCCTGGCCAGTTGGAGAGGGGCCCCTAATTGGAAGAGAACATCACGACCTAGCAGAGGAACCGGGCAGGACGGTATGACTAAGAAAGAATGAGTGAAAGGGAGCCTCTCGATGTAACATGAGAGGGGGCCGGTCTGGAGCGGGAAGGACGGCTTACCGTCGATGCCCATAACTGAGATCTGGGAAGGAAAAACTGTCCCAGAATATGTAGGC